AAGGTCTCCCACCACTGAGGTAGCTGAGTGAGTAAGCACAAGAGGGCCACCCAGCCACCAAAGGAATCTGGGGCCTTATCTGGGTCGTAGGGAACAGCCAACCACAGACACAATGCAGGAAGACAATAAAGGAATTGTGAACACTTGCTGCATATTTTCCTTCCAGATACGATAATAGCATGGTGGTTATCTGGGGAGGGAGATAACAAGATGAGATGAAAAGATATGTCTGACATTTGCTTTCAAATATCCACTTTGGGGTACTAGAGACAGTGGAAGGGAGAGGGAGAGGGGAAGGAAAAATAATTAGGATGTGTTATGTATGTGTACCGACTTCCTGTGATGAAAATCTTTTGTGTACAACAAAGATATACTAATAAAAATAAAATAATCCAGTTTGGAGAGCAGTATGAAGGGGTGGATGTAGATTAAATGATATGATTTGCCCATTGGTTGGAAGATGTTAAGAGGAGTATCGTTTTTGGGGGCATTTTTTTTTTTTTGGTACTGGGGATCGAACTCAGGACCTTGTGCTTTTGAGGCAGGCGCTGGAACCACTGAGCTAAATCCCTGGCCCACTTGGGGGGCATTTTTGACACAGGGTCTTGCTGTGTAGTTTAGGCTGGCCTTGAACTCACTACACAGCCCTGTAATCCCAGCACTTGGGAGGCTGATGCAGGAGGATCATTTTGAGTTTGAGGCTGTGAATTCAAGGCCAGCTTGAAATACACAGTGAGACCCTGTCTCAAAAAAACAAAGCAAAACAAAACTAGGCAAACAAAAAAAAAGAAATGGAGACTACAAGCCAGAAGAACCTTCAGAAAAGGAAAGTAAAAGAAACAAATTATTGAGAGCTGAGAAGTACACCAAACCAAACCAGAGACCTTAATTTGAGAATCTGAAAAGCTTCCAAACATTAACTAGTCAGAGATGATTTAGATCCTCACTTTAAGTGAAGGAAAGTTTTATCTCATAATGTGATTCTGAGACATAGTACTAAAAGCTACCTGATCTATCAATACATAAGGCTCCAGGGCTGGGAGTAGAGCTCCCTAGTAGAGGACCTGCTTAACATGAACAAGGCCTTGAATTAGATCCTTAGCCAGACACAAACATACACACACACACACACACACACACTGCATGAAAACCCTCCTTGACTCTCACCTTCTGTTTTTCCAGTGGTGCTGAGGATAGAGGCCAGGATCTCATACATGCTCTGCATGTGCTCTACAGCTGAGCGAACCCTCAGCCTGGGATTGTCACTTGACTCTCTAGAACTCTGGACTGCTTTAAAAGTTCATAATGTGGCTGGGCACAGTGGCATACACCTAGAGGCCCAGCTACTCTGTAAGCTGAGGCAGGAGGATCACAAGTTTGAGCCCCACCTGAGCAACTTAGTGAGACCCTATCTCAAAATTTAAAAACCTAAAAAGGGCTGAGGATGTAGCTCGGCACTCTCTAGGTTCAATCTGGGAGGGAGGGGATGTCTAAATGATTACCCTCCATTTCCATCTATTATGTGGAAGACACAAGAATAATCTGGGGACTGAGGCCAGGATGCAGACTGAGTGCTGCACTGTGCTGCTCTGCACTGTGCCCCTGTTGCATCAGACAGTTCTCCCTTGGCTTCCTCTGAGGGACTGTCCAGGACCCCCTAGGATACCAAAATGCAGACACAAAATGCAAAATGTGTCTGCACATAACCCACGCACAGCTCCCCTTTGCTTTAAACCACCTCTAGATGATTTATAATGCCCAATACACTGTAAATGCTGAATAGATAGTAGTTACACTGTGCTGTTTAGGGAATAATGAGGAAAAAAAGTCTTCAAATATTTTCAGCCTTGGCTGGCTGCACCTATGGATTCAGGGGTCCAAAGACACTACACTTTCCTGCTGGCCAGGGCTCTGGGGCAGTGCCCAGGGCACATTTGGATGATCCCCCAGAATAAAGGAATGTCCAGGTAACAGCTCCCACCACAGCTGCTCTGAAGGCTACTCACCATTTGGAACCAGAAGGAGGCTTTTCATGATGCTTTTAAGGGGGCCAAGACTGATCTGATTAGCGGTGGCAAATTCAGAGAGCTGAGTCAGAAACCTCTCCACCTGAAGAGGGAACAGCACAAACCAGGCCTTTGCTCTCTAAGCTCCTCGGGTGCTCAGGTCTCTCCTTAGCTCAGATCTCCATGCTCAGATCGCTCCTTAGCACAAAATACTTTACCTCCTTGGGCTCTTTTAGGAACTGGAACAGTACTTCTGTCAGAGCTGAGAACTGCTGAAAAGAGAACAGCACAGAATGTCAGTACGATCTCTACTCCTGGGCCAGTGTACCAGTCTCCTCCCATGACAGATCCTTGAGAGAAAGTAAGCACAGGTGTTGCTACTCCTTCTGCTGCTGTTTCCTCTTTGGTTTTTCTTTCCTGGTATTAGGGATTGAACTCAGGGCATTCACACTGAGCTAAACTCCCAGTTCTTTCTTTTTTATTTTTGAAACAGGGTCTAACTTGCTAAGTTGTCCAGGCTGTGCTCAAAACTTGTGATACTTAGCCAGACATGGTGGCACACGCCTGTGATCCCAGCACTCGGGAGGCTGAGGCAGGAGGATTGCTGCAAGTTCGAGGCCAGTGTGGGCCTCATAGTGAGTTCAGGGCCAGGCTGAACTATAAAGCAAGACCCTGTCTCAAAAAGAAAACAAACTTGTGATCCTCCTGCCTCAGGTTTCCAGAGTGTTGAGATTAGAGGCCTGAACTACCTGCTTCTGTATTTTTTCTTTTTTTTTGAACTTGCTATGTATCCTAGACCAGCCTCAAATTCATGATTTCCTACTTCACACCATGCTTGTGATACCTATTCTGATCACCATGAAGTTATAAATGTCCATACTACCATATCAGTGTCAATATATCCACATCAATATATTGCCTGAAAAGCACAAATATTTTATCGAGATACTTAAAAGATGTATATTGAGAGATCATGTGTGTGAGCATGCAGATGGACACATACATCTCTAAGGTCCAAACACACACACAGAAAAAGATCTGAAAGGAGGAATCACCAGAACACTGAGAGGAGTTACCACAGGGG